TGTGCTAATTCTAGCGGTTTCTATAACTATTATGTATGTGCAATCAATTCAAATTGCTTGCTTTTTAATCTCCGTATGGAATCTTTATATCCTCATTGTAAATCGTGAAATATCAATGAAATTTTGAATATGTTGCCCAAGAAAGAAGGATATCTCGAAAGAAAATTTTTGTTGTAATGAACTATCTTGTTAGTTTTCACCTGAAAAAGTTGAGCCATTGTATTTGAATCACGTCTAATTTGTTGCTGGAAGGCTTCAGGGTTCACTACAGAGCCATCTGGGTTGAAGCTCAAATTATTGACAGGAGCACTGCAACGTTATGGATGTTAGATTATCAATAAAAAGCAAAGCATGGGTGTGTAAAATAATGTGTAAATTGTATAGATTTACTAACACAAAAGGAAAATTTAAATTTCCACAAGCATCAAGCACATAATTATCAAGAGAAAGGTGACTTCACAAGCACCCACTAAACCAAGAATAAGCAAGTAATTTACAAACCCACTTAAAATAAAATTACCAATCTACTTGTCCATTGAAAGTAACAAACAACAGTCACATCAGTGTACATCACAAGGAAAGAAAAAAAAAAGAAAAAAAAAAAGAGGAGCTTTAAGAGCTATTAAGATGATTAGCAATTTCATTTTCAATAATAAAACGATAATAGCCATTTAAGTCCCTTTCCTTCAATGCAACACTCAAGTCATTAACAAATGTCTTGAGATTTATTTACACAGTTTTTTACAGCGAAGAACTGAAACAATGGAGTGAGTTGATCTTGTGGACCAAGTATAGGTATAGCACCAATTATCATGTTTCCTCAATACTACTCCTTTCAAACGTTGTATATGGAAGACAGCCACCACCTCGTAGATCCCATGGGGATAGGAAAACAATGAACAGCATTTCACAGTAGCTCAGCATAGAAGAGAGGTGCATTATGTGGTTGGGGACATGGTTTTCTGAAAATTCAGCCTTATTGACAACAATCCTTAGCAAGATGTCGATGTGAGAAACTTACTCCCAAGTTTTTTGGTCCTTACACAACACTAGAATGGATTGGGAAAGTGGCTACCGAGTCTTCTATCCACAATGCACTCCATGTATCTCAGCTAAAAAGTTTGTGCATCCAAATATACCATAGTAAACCCTCATCTTCCCGTACTAGGAGAAAAAATAGGACATAGAAGCAATCAACCCCATACTAGCAAAGACAATATGGAATGGAAATCGCCCTAAAAAGGTGAAGTTTTTCCGATGGGAAATAAAGCCATTAGCACAAGTAAAATCTACAAAAAAGAATACCCTACATGCCTCTGTTCCAAGTCGGTGCCTATTATGTAAAAAAAAAAAACAACGAATCACAGAGCCACTTGTTTATACAGTGCACATACGCTCATAATTTTTAAGCAAGGATTCTCAATATCTTTGGGTGACATCTCACTTTTCCTAGGGTGGGAAATGAGTTATTGGACATGTGCTTAAAGTACCACCCTTTCAAGAATGCAAAAGTCCTGTTATGGAAAAAAAACCTCATTGTGGTTTTCTTTTGAAATCTATAGGAAGAAAGAAATAAAAAAGTATTCACAGAGAAGACATATACTCTTACAAAACTCTTCGACAATGTTGTTTACCACGCAATATCTTGGTGTAAATTGTCTAATATTTTGCTTCCTATAGTTACACCTCCTTCATTGTAAATTGGAAAGGTCTTTTGTAAGTATCATAGATAACACATCCCTTTTGTAAATTTCAAATATCAATGAAATTGTCTCTTAAAAAAAAAAAAAAAAAAAAAAAAAAAAAAAAAAA